TCCAAGGAAAAGCATTGTAAGTAAACACGTAATCATATTATTATCGTAATTTTAGCCTGTTCTATTTATAAGGCTTGAACAAAAACCTCCCTCAACGATTTTTATCTTTATTTCGTTTTGAATACTGTATTTCACTACCTGTATTTACCATGTGGCAAGCAAATAAATAAAGGATAATCAAATATTTAAACAGGGCCCAGGCTAATTCGTTGGCCTATGTATAGCCCAGTCTTTGGATCGTAAGATGTCTCAACCACGTCTCAACTAAGCGCTTAGACATTCATCTTGTAATTCTTATTTTGTTTAATTTTTAAGATAACTTCTATAAAAAAACTATTTTTCATCCATTTTAATTTCAATTTACTTATTTCATTTAATTAATATACAAAAATTAGGACGCTAAAATATACAAAGTAACACAAAAATAGCAAAAGAAGTCAGACGAAAAGGAAAAACGATAAAAACCGATAAACCGCCAAGAAACGCCGTTTGATGTGGAAGATTGAAATTTAATTAAATCTGCTTGTTACATAATTCGTGCATTATTGCGTATCGAGAGTAGCTCGTGCGTTTCATTAACATCAAAGCTGGAGTTGGCTGTTAATTTGGTATCGGCAATAAACTCGCAACTCGCATCCGTGCGCCTCTACGGCCGTAATGTGTGGCCGATGTCTCACCCAGGCACTATGCGATATGGTGCTGTAATTCTCTGATGACTATAAAACGTTGTATGAATCTGAAAATCAAAATTTATGGCCAGATTGTTGGTCACTAATTGACTAGGTATGTAATAAATCTCTTTCGGATTGATATCCCACATTTCTCAGTGCACATTGAAAGTCAATTTACTTATAGGTAAATTACACTCTATACAGAACATTCATTTATTTTCATTCGTTTCTTTTTATAATCCGTACAAAGTAAGTTACATATAATTATGTCATACCTTTCTACCCGCAAAACATTTTCCTTGATGGATGTCCAATTTAAATTTCCATACAGAAGATGTAGAGTCGCAATTTCGGCACTCCGGTAGAGCAGCGCCCGCCAACCGAACTCGGTTAGGGCGAAGTAATTGTCAATTTATTTGCATAACCGCCATAATTCCTTCATTTTCGGCTCGGGCCTAATTAACTCGCTGTGCATAAAATTATAATAATTCCATAATTTTTCTAACGTCTTAAACAATTGAGGGGGAACAAATCGCTTGGAACAAAACAAATTAAGCGCTTTGTAAATCTATGGGTTTTTAAGTACAGATTACTGAGCTGAGAATCTGAAGACAGTAGTCATGAAAATTTATAAGTTCTAAATTTAAAGGTAGCTGTTTGTTTAGTTTACTATACGAGGACAGTGGTGTCAGGAAGGATCTAGATGCAGGCAGCTACGACCGCGCGATATGGAAATAATTTAAAGATTATTTATTCACCGAGATAATGTGGTACAATAAAATATGTGGTCTTAAATTAAAAAGAGGTGCAGCTTATCTCACCAGCGTAGCTGGCATGTGAATTTGTGCATAAAAAATCATTATTATAAATTACAATTACAATTATAATTATTATATAGCTATGTCAATAAATTCAATTAGTTATTCAATAATATTTATTATAATAATCTTACTTCAATAAATTAAATTAGATGTCAAATTGTTTATTGTAATTTACATGTCAAATAATCCTTAACTGAATAAAAACATTTTCCACATAACAAATTATACAGTTTCTTATTAAACAGATTTCCATTAAGGTCTTTTATTTGGTTGGGTAATTTATTATAAATAGCAACAGCCATAATGTGCGAGTTACGACCGCATAGTCCAGTTTTGACCACTGGGTGCGCCAGTTTATTTTTGTGGAGGCCTTTGTTCGGCAGTGGACGTCCTGTGGCTGAAATGATGACTGAAAGAAAAGTTTATGTTACTTCAATGGGCCCCAAATGTGTGTAGAAACTTCTGTGAGCATCATTATGCAGCACTAACCACTTCCTTGCTCATGCCTACTTCCAGAACACTAAAACTTATTCAATTCCCGAGGGTTCGCACTACCCTTAAATAATGCGCCGTGCATGACGCGGCGGCGTGTTTGCAACGCGTCGGTGCGCCGCCGGAATGCTAAGGGCGCGGCGTTGCAGCGTGCATGTGCAATGAGCTACGCATCCAGCTACTGCTCTGTTTAGAGACAAACTTCGTAATAAGTTGGAGAAATGACCTGCATTATAACGAGATATGTTGTTATCCAACAAGATTATCTTATTACTGTTACACCAACGATTAAGATTAGAGTCTTTGGAAGCGTAGCACGGAACACAAAAGAAATCTATTCGATATGTAATAGTTGTATCACGTAATTTTTAAAGGCCTAATAAAGAACCACGTCATATAAAATTACAAAAAGTAGCACACAAAGAAATTCTGATATTATTTGTGGTTATTGCAAAACCTTTGTAAACACGATCCAATCATTAATCCCAATCAGTAAAGGTATAATTAGTCACGCATGTACCTAACGGTAATATTGTTAGCAAAATTGCCCAAAAGTTTTCCTTTATCGCACAATAGAGGATAACAATAATAAACAGAGGATAATAACGTGACGTGACAATAATAAATAACACACTCCCTTGTTCCCTCTACCCGTAGAAGGTGAGATACTTGTACTGTAGAAACCATAACGTTATTATTACTTCGGAATAGAGCAACAACCACAAACTGTCAAACGAAAACGATTTTGAATGACACTGGATATCATTTGTGAGTCAGTGTCAGGATTATTTCACTGTTTTGTACGATAAATCAATCACTGAACCAGTCACCACGTTTCTGAAGCACTATAGTTCCAAAATACTGAACTGTCCTATGCATGACATTGACAGTGGGGCGCCACCGTCAATACCGGATCGCTGGTTCCGATTTTTGCCATGTTTGGAAACCATATAGTTGAACGATGGTAGCGCCCCCCTGTCATTGAGTTTGGTGGGGTAGTTCAGCGTGGGTCATCTATATTTCTCACAAACATCCACGATTTCACTCACGTCAAATCTGACCACTAAGTGCATCTGAACTGTAGGTAAAATAGTTCTGTGTGACGTGACGGCAACGGCAGCACACATCTTTTTTTATTACACAGTGTGACATCTCTCAGTTCTTTGTTGCTAGGTAGGTATATTAACTTTACGGTAGAAACCTGAGACTCGTGCAAAACTAAACAAGTGCGCATAAACACCAAGCTGGTGAAATACGATTCCACAAAGTTGCAGCTGCGCGCGTTCCCGATAATCATATACATTGGGGAGTGGGATTGGATGCCAGTCAATCATGCCAAACTACTCGCAAGTTAGACATCGACTCGCCTGCACTGAAGAACGAACATAAAATAAACACTTTTCCAAGATAAGCTCTCTGATCTCCGAGTTCAATTGCTCAATTTATTCCAGTTACTTATAAGAAAAAGTACAATTTTAGAAGATATTTTAGACTCATATTTGAAGATATTTAATACTCGTGGTGTTTTTTATTCACTTTGATTCCGAATGAATCTCAGAAAAAGTTAACTAAAATAAAACCTCTGGAACTTGCAGACGATTCAGGACCTAATGGTGTTTTTGCACTCGCCGCTTGGTTAAAAAACACTTACCTACACTTGTATGTGAAGATGATTTTGCACATTTTTATCGCATCGTCATAAGTATTAAAAATACGGTTGTGGCTAAACGCAAACCGCGAAAGTTAAGTATTAAAAATGCGAATATTTGTTAAGTTTTCACAGTTCAATTCTGAACTAATTTTAATAAATATTGATATGGAGAAAAATTAATAGACTCAAGGAGAAGGAGAAGAATATAATTATTATGTAGCTACATACATAACTACATAAATAATTCATCACCTTTTTGACGCATAAAAAATATTAGGGGATGAATATTTATGGAATGATGCGACATAAACATTTATATTATTTTAGCTTTTTTAACCAAACCATATTTATGACATCGATTATAAGTTACACAACACGTTTATCGCTATGATTAGATAGACAAAACAGACGCTTGAGGAAGGTCCTATGTTTTTAGTTTCTGCAGAACCTTTTAAGAGGTTTAGGATGGACTGCGATCAGGCCAACGGTAATAGGCTAGTTGCCTAAAAAAAATTTTTTAGTCCGTAATGTTTAATATCAAAAAATATTGGACACGTATAATTTTATTTGTCAATCTAACAAATAATTACATAGTTATGGTGCGTTGAAGTTGCGCACGACGTCACAACGTGCGGCATTTTTAAGCAAGCGTTGACGTCACGGGCCTCTTCTTATGAACTTTGGGGCGCTTTATCTCTTTAAATCAAGCGTTGACGTCACGGGCCTCTTCTTATGAACTTTGGGGCGCTTTATCTCTTTAAATTTTCATTAGTTTGAAAAAGTGAAAAATACGAGTAGAGTATTTTTTGATAAGTTAACTGACGGACTAATTAAAACTCTTGCTTTTTGACCCAGGCAACATCCCCATTGCTCTTTGAATCAACTTTAGAAAGTAGGTACCTATTGCACGAGTGTCGATTCAATTAAATGTTTTTCAATCGTTTCAATGACGTTTAGGATCTGTAAATTTCCTTTTTTAAATGTTCTACCTATTGTGTAGATACCACTTACCACAAAATAAATGGGTTATGGATTTTTCAAGTTGAGTAATTCAATAACTTCCTTCACAGAACTCGATAAAATGTTATTAAAAGTTTGCCGTCTAGCTTTATTTTAGCACTCAATATCGAACAACGGGGGGAGTTGAGGTCTTTATCTTTCGTTCTATCTTTGATACCTCACCTAGGATCAAAAGTTTAATTTGTTGCTGTTGTTTGTTTTATTAGAACACGTTAAAATGTTGCTATAAGCGTTAGACATATTATTATGTTTTCATTGACGCGTTATATTGAAGAAACAGTTTTAAATCTTGAAGAAGGGAGGTTTTGTCTCACAGTACAACAGATGATAATAAAGGACACTGACCAGTAGCAAGGGTCCTGCAGCGCTTCCTCGGCCAGCACCTGACGGCGGAGGTCCAACGGGCCGTCAGCACGGACTCGTTGCGAATGATGATAGTTCGGGAGCGAACTGTGGACAATACACAGTTAAATCGCTTTACTGAAATAGACAACACAACCTTACGCAGGACCGGTCTTTGTGGAAATCCTTGGGTGAGGCCTTTGTTCAGCAGTGGACGTCATTCGACTGATACGAACGAACGAATGAAGATAGCACAAGGTATTTGGTTCGGGTTTTCTTGAAGAGCTCTAAATACCACAAACGTCGCTAGAAATTACTTGAAGTTTAAAAATATTGCAATGACACCGAGTAACTTATGACACTGGTTCGTGGCCTGTTGTGAAACAGCATAAAATAATATTTGCATGTGTGTTTTTTTTTTATGTGACAGGAGGCAAACGAGCGGACGGATCACCTGATGGTAAGTGATTACCGTCGCCCATAGACACCCGCAGACCCAGGGGCGTTACTTACAGGTGTTATAAGTGTGTGCTATTATATCAATTATTTATACAGTGTGAGTCACGTTAAAGTGTACATATGAAAATAGATGAAGCTAGACCTATTTTTATCGACAAAAAAGAGGTAAAACATTTTTTGAGTTTTTTTTGTAAAATGTTGTGATAGGGATAGAGACTTGCGATTTTTGGTTTTACGAAGGTAATACGATAGAGAATAATGCAAAGTAATAAAATCCACCGGTTATAGGGGCATTTTTTGGAAAAAAAATCAAATAACCAAAAAAACACGAATTTAAAAGCAGATTTTTTTCAAAAAGTATCATTTTTTATTATTTGTTGGCCTTTTTTGTGTATTTTATGTATTTTTTTAGTATTGCCTGTTATTTAGCATTATTACTGTTTTTATTTGATCAGGATATACCGCTTATTTTAAAAGTTATTACGTTTTCAATCAAAAAAATCTATAAAAAATTACAAAAAATCTCAAAAATTTTTTGACCCCTTTTTAGTCGATAAAAATAGGTCTAGTTTCATCTATTTTCATATGTACACTTTAACGTGACTCACACTGTATTAATTCGATTACGTAGTACACTGCCAAAATACGACATTACGAAAACACGATCATTATTTAACTGTGACAATCAAAAATAGCTGAGACTGTTAAAACCATCCAATAGGAGCTAATCAATATATTCAAATGTCACATAACTTATTAGATCAGACATTAATTGATAATTACCAGAGTTAGTTCCTACACTTTTACTTTGATCATAAACTGCGCGAGCACAAAGCGTTCTAACTTTCAGCTTAGATAAGTTAGCCGATGAAAGTTAATGGGTGGTTAAACTGTCTGAATTGCTGTGATAATGTTCTTCACACGAACTTTCGCGCCGTGTTGTAATGAGGCATTATTACAGTCCATTCTAAATGTGCAAAAATTGATAGTAAAATTCTCAAGATACTTTTATTATCATATTTTTTTTATGTGACAGGAGGCAAACGAGCAGACAGATCACCTGATGGTAAGTGATTACCGTCGCCCATAGACATCCGTAGTCCCAGGGGCGTTACAGGTGCGTTATCATTGTCTATCAATTATTTACATTTATTATATTCAAAACTAATTACAAATATAAGGTTTCTATTTTGTTAAATGAACTACCACTCTCTACACGTTTGAATTTGATTTTTATGTCTTTTCTTCATAATTTTAATTTAATCTCATCATTTACCTCTTCCAGGTGGAAGACGCACAAATGCAATCCTTTTTGTACCTTATTATTTCCAGTTTAGACCTAATTATCGAAAATAAACTTATTCAACGTTCAGCCCAGACGGGTTGTGACCTTGGTTCCACACAATTGGAGAACAGATAGACTAGCTAGACTTGTATTACTTCAATTACTTTGGTACTCGATGAAAATTGATTACTCCAGATTACATTCTAATTGTATTCGACTAGCGTTGCCAATCCACTTTTTTAGTCGCTATACAACTCTATAGAACTTTTAGCTAAAATAATGTTATAGTCCCGACAGACCTAATCAGTATTCAAACCACGAAAGTATTGACGCTTGAAATATTAGCCTCATTATTTTTTCCCTGCCTGTGCGAGTATCATGCGACACAATATACAGGGTGATTTTGTTATCAGTATCCATATATTAGGAGCGACTCAGAATCAGTAACTTAATCGATTTACGTAAAGAATACTTTTTTTTTATCCACTGCGCGCAGTTTCACATTTGGCTCACGTNGTTCAGTTGGTTATAATGTCAGTGGATGACTCCTCAGCTGGTAAGTTATTGAATGAGTGTGTGGACTTGTTGAATACCTTTTACAATGTATTTGATCAACTACCTTTACCGTAGATTACCATAATCCTAATAAAACTTTTTTTTTAGATTGATAACAGCAGTGTATGTTGTCACTCATGTTGGACCTTGGCCACGGTGTGGCTCTGCACCAATCAAGGACAAATTATATTTCAAATGAAGAAGCAACCACTAGCACTGGTCACAGTTAACGTGGATTATCTTTGTTACAAATACGTTCCATAGACTGCATATTAACACGGAAAGAGAATCACATATTCGAAAATAATGTAATAATGGAACAGATTTCACCTCGTCAAGTAAGTTTTGTAATAATTATTTTCATTATATTTTATTAGAGACATTGGCTTGATATATTTGAACAAAGTGTATATTTTTTTCTATACAAATACTTCTAACTGATAGATAAAAATTGACATCACATCTCAATATCTTAAAGAATGAATTTTGAATGATACCATAATTAATTTCTTTGTTTCAGCTGCGGGGATCTTACCAAATATGTCATCCCTGATGGCAGTGAGCTGATCGAGCTGCTACATATGCTGTGGAGCCCCAACAAACACATGATGGGACGAGGATTCATTTGCCCTTATATTGACCGAATAACAGTAGGTCGCTGTGCTCATGTTATGACAATTTAGTGGTTTTTGAGCTGGGCAAGATATCAGGAACATGTATTTCCACCTGCCTAGTTCCTAGACAATATTTTATTGACCCATGAGTCAAGATTAAAATAATAATAATAAAAAAATGGTGTTTTATTTTGCTTCTAACCTTTCTAGTCTTAAGCCAAAAAAAATTTTTTTAAGGACTTGGATACAAAATGATATTTATATTCTGTTTCTTACTGGTATAGACTATTTAATAAATAACAAATTACATGCTGTAATGTCTGTCCACCTCAGGCCAAAGGTCCCATACTAAGTGGGCATAACCCTTTGTTTACGACTGAATAACATTGCATACTGTTGTAACCTACTTTTTGGAACGAAGAAAAGAGGAAGATCTTATGATTTATGTATCACCTGAGTATTTTTACTGCTGTGAATAGAGTTTATGTGATAGATTTATTACAATCGACTATCAGTTTGAATAATACAGCTTTCACACATTTCTTTACTTATGACTATTTTTTTATTAATTTACTAAACAAAATTAAATTGCATAACTTCTTCTTCTGGTGCCTTCTCCCATTTCATTTGGGGTCATCCATCCTCGTTCTAAGAGGCAAGACAATTTGTCTTGGGTCGTAAAATTGCATAACTATTTTTTCAAATTAAAAATAAACCTATTTCCAGAATAAAAACTTCCTAAGGCAGTTATGTTACCTGTTCTTAGTGGTATCCCCTTGAACTGCAGACAGAACGGTTCCTCGTACTGGGGCAGCACGGGCTTGGTCCGCTCGTCGCACGGGCACACCCTCGTGAGCGCCGGCGGCTCCCACACTGCAATGTCAATGCATTCTTAATGCTATAGCCACGGACAACGAGTTCCTTCCACTTATGTGCCCTTTTACTTTTTCAATCGTGGCCATTCAGCGTGAATACTTGAACATCTTTAAGTGCCTGAATTCAATTTGAATATACTGCTTGAAACATCGCTTTATGGGAGAAGTAGTAAATAAAATTATGCTGAAATTCACAGCTTTTACCAATAAACAAATTAATAGTTTAAAGCGACACTCAATAAATAATCCTCAGATGGATCTATGGAGCCGACCAAGCGCACGTCGCTCTACTCGCGGTGTAAAAATGTGTCATCTTCAAATTATATCGAAAAAATTCTGATATTTACTAGACATTGCACTGGAACAAGAGACATAAAAATAGCTTATGAAATCGTGTAATCCCAGCTCGAAAGATAAAGGGGCCCAAAGACAGCAGTGGCACGACCGCTAATCGCCCCGTGGCGCCGAGGCTACGTGTCACAATACGTTTCATCCTAACCGGCACCTTTTCATCAATGTCCCCCAATTAATCCAGGCATGAGAGGACGCCGAAGGGGGGTCAAAGCGGGGCCCACCTGAATAGCCCACCTAATCGCTCGGGGCCCAAAATGTACACGTGTTTCTGTTTGAAAGGATAATGTAAAAATAGAGCCGAGTTTTCACAATAATTTACATAACGTCCGGCACTTGATTGATTAGCTTACCTAACTTAGCTCCCGTCAACGGAAACTTACTTTATACAAAAACCTTTATTGAAAATAGCGGGAAGTAGGTACTTTGGTTAAGTAATTCGGTGCTCTACTGATGAAATTAATCTAAATATTCAAAATTATAATACCTGATGTCATAATATCATGATGGTCTATTTATTTTCTTGTAAAGCAAAAACATATTGAGACATAGGTATATCTATGACATACATAATGTTTTATACATTTAGCATTAAATCACAAATAATTAAGTAGAGTCATAAGACATGTCATAATACTTGTAAAAGTTTTAGAACATGGCGCACTGCTCTACCGTGTGCCAAGATTTTGCAACACAGATACTTCAGGGTCTTCATTAAACTTGGAACCGTGTCCATTTTGGTTAGTTATCTACTCGTTTATGAAATTGTGCATTTCCTACATTTGCTGAGCTACTTTAGACTATAATATGCTTACGTCATTGTGAATAGTGATTGGATAATAAGCTGCTTAGATTTGCTGCTTAGATTGGATAATAATTGTTTTGTAAATATAAGAAGACAATTTGAGACAAATTAAAGACTTAGCCTGAGTTGCTGCACCATATTATTTTAACCGTGACTATAACCATAGTAATCGATGTTTTTTGTATGGAGTCTGACAGTTTTTTTTATATTTCTTCCTAAAGTTAAAGTAAGATGGCGCTACCCCTTAATGTTGTCTAAAGAGGCAGTTATTTTAATAATTTAATATTTAATTATGTTTGTAGCTATACTCCTAAACTTGACCGCCTAACCAGCCCCATAAATCAGTGGGCCGCAAGGTTCTGATTAAATGCTCGCAACTTCAGCTACGCGTAATATTCGCGATCTAGATAATGCCCAAGACGGACGACATCGCAGATTGTCGGAGAGAAGAGGATCCTAAATTGTTTATTTAGTACAAACATAATTAATATAACTTGTGTCATATACTTCGTATACATGTTATAAAACAATCTGAACCAGCAAACGTTGTGATGCACTTGGCTAGGGGTATATGAAAAATAGTTTACTATTTGATTAGATAGAGATTTGACGCTAATTATTATGTCATCATCATCATCATCATCTCAGCCATAGGACGTCCACTGCTGAACATAGGCCTCCCCCAATGCTTTCCATGTTACCCGGTTGGTAGCGGCCTGCGTCCAGCGCTTTCCTGCTACCTTTATGATGTCGTCGGTCCACCTTGTGGGTGGACGTACCACGTAATATTTATGTAAAGTAGTATAAAACAGTATTTTTTTCATTTCGACAATGCTGTAGTTTATGGGCTACCGTACTCCTTAACTGCTTCAATAAAACGAATAAAATGATTTATCTACACCAATCTAGCAGAGCGTTAGGCCCAGCATCGCTTTAGGTAGCTACGAGTAGAGTTACGTAACGAATAAATTGGTGTGGAGACGTGAGTGTCATTTGTTATCGTTGTAATAGCTACGTTACGTTCTCTTCATATATATTATCAGCGATCAGTGATTGTGCGACTACGTGACATCTTAATGTCTTCAGCTCAAAGTAATGGCATCAAAACCGAACGATTCTGAAATTTAGAATTTTGACAATTTCAAGCATTCAATCATTTCATCAACTTGTGCTAGTTAGCAATTCAAACAATTTTCAACAAGAAGTGCGCTGGGACCGGCAGTTCGAATTGAACTGGGACTTTCAAGAGTTCTAAGTGTATGACATTCGAGTCATGACTGGCGATACAAACATGTTCTCGCACAGTGGAATTCCAGTAGTGAATTTCCATAAAAATAAAAACGTTTTAACATACCCAAAACGAAAAATATTTGTAGAGATAAGATTTTTGTCCCAAATTCATTTATTAACTCATCAAAATACATAGGCAACCCAAACAAAACAGTCAATATTATCCATTAACTAGATTATTAATATTTATAAAGTTAAACAGAGCCGCAGAATTCAAATCCTCAGCAGTTTGAAACAGGAAACTTAACCCATTATAGACTGAGTTTTCTTAAAGTGTCAGATTTTTGTTTTTTTGAAATATGTTCATAATTATGGTCTACATAATGCTATACAAGCATTAAAAAAATGATCCGACCTGTAATCTAGAAAAAAAATGCTGGTACCATATGGTACCGCTAGCCTCTTACCGTGTCAGTAAGTAAAAACATAATTATCATGGACTTTATAAAAATAGGGTAAATTATATATTTTATTATTATTATAATATGTATTAATATACAAGCAAATAACAGAAGTGATATTAAATGTAAAAAAAACTGTATATTGGGTAAGCAATATTCATTTTTATCTTTGAATATTCAAAAATTTGGAATGGAGCTTGGCATTGCACGCTGCACTTAGCCCCACATAACATTTTCTATACTCTAATATTGTTCGAGAGTTGCAATTATCCCAAGTTCGTTCTATAAATATCTGCTTCGTCTTGGGACCTTCATCGTCCTCCAAAACTGCCAATGTTTCGTGTAAGTTACATCTAAAATAAATAAAAACCCATGGTTTTGTAAAGTATAGGTAACTATTTTACTTTATCTTGCTGTATACCTTATATACCATTGAATACATCACATACTTCCCAATAAATACAGTAAAAACTAAAAATCATAAAATAATTAAAAAGACACTGTAAGCGGCTAGCGGTACCGTACGGTACCAGTAATTTTGACAAACAATATTTCCCATTATTATTACCTATCGACGTAATTTTACACCATTTCACAATAAAAGCACTTATGGAGAATACAAGATTGTAACAAAATCAGTATTTGACTATCACACAAAAAAATATGATCACTTACTTGAATGGCGCGTCAATTTTTAAGAGAAAATTTTGATGCGCTTACTTCAATCATCAATTACACACAACTGAAAAGAATAACTGTCAATTTTTATTCCTAGAAGCATAGACCATATCTATTGGCTACGACTTGCATCAATCAGAGCACTGCATCTTTTCTCGTGTTAATGTATAGAGCCAAATTAAAACACACAAAAAAGTGGTACCATATGGAACCGCTAGTCTATAATGGGTTAAGATATTTGATGTTTACATTCTATCTGATTCGCACTAGTCAAAACACGAAATCTGTACAGTTAGAGTAGGCGCACACCGTTGATTTTTAGTTGGCCGATAGTTGTGCCCGATTTTAATTTGTATGAAGAATCGGCCAAATTGAATCGGCGTAGTGTGCACACTCCCATACATGCCCATACTGATCAACTGCCCGACTAAACTATCGGCCGACGAAAAATCAACGGTGTGCGCCTACTCTTAGCCAAATTGTATCGATGCTGAAACTTCAGCGGAGTGGATCAAAAGAGGCCATCGTAACCACTCCAGCTCGTTGATAACCTCGTTTCCTGCCATCAGCCGGGAACTTTCGACGAGCTCCGGACTGGCTGAGCGTCATTGAGATTCGTTTAAACTTAGAGATTGAAGAGCAATTGTTTTAGATGTGGCAACTGGTAATAAACTATTAATTTGATTGCTGTCTAAGAACCGCTTGGCCATTTAGTGCCGTTATTGGGGCCCACAAGATTTGGATTTCTTCACAGGAAAAATGCTAGTCAAATAGTGGTTTTTGTTTAAAATTACTAGTGATTAACCACCACTAAAATGAAGAAACAAAAGGACATCATCCATTTTGGTCCAAAATCAAAAGTGCCGGCCAAAAAATAAAAGTGCTGTATTCTGATAGAATACGTCCGCCTTAGCATTTATTACTATGGCACCAAAGCTGTAGCACCACTGTGCGTCGTATCGTAGTATTTGAGTTCTTTTTTTTGTTGGCCGGCACTTTTGATTTTGGACCAAAAATATATGAAACGTGGATGATGTCCTTTCTTGATGTTTTTTTCACTGTGTTCCATTTCAACTAAAGTAGAGAAACACGGGTCTCAACGCAACATTTTTTATACTTTTACATATTATGTACTCACGTCTTGACGTTTCAGGTGCTATGCTGCAGCCATGGTCACAAGCAGGCTGGCGGTTGAGACCCGTGTTTCTCTGTTTAAGTTCACTGTAGTAAATAAACATGAGGTGCAAATATCAGCTAAATAAATCATTATCCTCACATATCTCAATGGAAGACAGGTCCTCCTCGGTCTCCGGCGGCGGCCGCGGGCGCTTCACCGGCGGAATGTACACCATCTTGGCGCGGCAGTGGCACGTGTTGTCTGGAACAAAGTAGCTTTAAATCATTGAGTTATAATGTACTACGTACTAGAGAAGACATGTCAACTAGACTGTTTCTGGCACGTAAATAGGTCCACGGACCGAAATTCAATTAGTATGTGCTCAGCGGTTGCTGTGACAACACGCTTGAGTGCAGTTTTGTTTTATGAAATATGNCATTGTAAAAAAATATTTAAAATTAAGAACCAAGGTTAATAAAGAGAATAATAATAATAATAAATATCCTTACTACACTTTGATTTCTAAATGGCAGTTCAAAAGTATTAGGATAAAATTTTGAAGACGCCAACTTTGCTCAGTGCTCAGTTATCGTAACAAAGTACCTTCCCTGATCCCCTCGTTAAGGTGCTCACCTTTCAAGGGGTATCATTAAGCACTTTCCTCACTTTATCAAACGTAAAACGTCATTACCAGTAACACCGCAGAGCGTCAAATCTTTGATGCCCAAATACGAACCACAAAGCCGTAAAAATCTACTTTCTCGCGGTGAAATTTCCAACTTTTCTCGTGTAATAGAAAAAGTTCGCCATTGAGCCTACGGGCCGAAACTTTGGTTCTAACTGTGGCTTCGTTTCGTCATTATTAAGAACATTCTTTGTTAGGATTGATTCTGGAAGCTTTTTATACTTTGGTAACGAGAGAAAGATAATTTTCTGGCTGTAGACTTCCATTCAAAGTATTTTTGTGTTGCAACTTGGAGTTTGCAAGGGCTTAAGGGCAAAAAATATAAGTATATGACAGATAATATAGTCAAAATACTTTCCAAAATAAATGTTACTTAAGCCGGCAGTTAATTTTATTACCATACGCGATAACGATCTTCTGGCCGAATGTAATGGTTGCTTAAACGATTTAACAGCTTCTATCTTACGCAGCGCGACACACTTTTAGAGAGAATTAGCATTAAACAGTACCGCACACCTGGCTACTAGTGGCGACCACTATCGTTGATTAGTTGCCACAAGCTGATAGCTGATAAGTCGGGCGAGAGATTTGTTTAAATCTCTACGCGTAGAACTAAAGATGCCCGATCAAGTGGCGAAACTGACAATAAATAGCGCTGCCACAGTTTAAAACTGCTGAGTAGATTGGTCCACGTGTACGTTCATGATCTTCGTCAGTCTATGAATCGGAGACTGACTTGAGTGCTTTTTGTACCACCATTATGTCCGATAGAAGCTAAGAAAACTTCTAGGTACGTGAAAATATCTCTACGTTCCAAACATTTCATCAATTTACTGGAATTATTACTGCATTTCATAATTAAACGTCCATGACTACGGGCATAAATGCTAGTGTTCATTAATATTTTGTTCCCCGTGGGATCACCCGCAATTTCAGCTCGCAGCTATGGCGATGAGCACAAACCGGCCGGTCGGCTATTGTACTGTGCAACAAAGTTTTGATTAAAAATGATAATCAGGCGCTTTTAATAATACGTTTCACCTGGTTTGTTTTTGCAGTAGTCGCCATATTGTCCTTTCCAGCAACCGGACAGTAGATAAGGGGACAAAGCAGATGGTATACTGGGCCACTTACATAACGGCCGAGTGTGCGGCCAAGGCGCATCTTGTTAAGGAATGCGCGGAGATAATGAAGTCGTAATCTGCGCCTTGAGCGTTATACGAGCGCCGCGATTACGGCCGCCGCAGAGGGGGTCCCTAGCGAAGGGGGAGAGAACACAATGTTTCTTATAAGAGCTATTTAAGAAACATACAGCTCGTTTTATTATGTAACTAGCTGTGCCCGCGACTTCGTCCGCGTGGAATAATGACTTTTGGTAGGCACTTTTAATAATTTAGTCTAATTATTTTACAAATAGCTTTTGCCCGCGACTTCGTCCGCGGAGAAGTCGAAAACGTTCTCATACGATTTTTAACGTTATTATCTAAATGTTTGAATACNACTGCTACGTTTTGTCACTTGTCTAGGAAGGCTAATTTTAGTCTAAGGGAGGGGAGCTTAGATTACATTACAGGAAACGCACAATATAATAAAAGAAAATAATGTAAGTAGCTGAACCTTTTTGAGCACCATGAAAATTTAACACAATTTAGCCGATTTGTTTATATTCACAATCGTTTCACAATGTCTATGATGAGGCGACCGCAGGAACGTCACTATTCGTGCAATCCTGTCAATGAAGTACGACATTTTCTGGTGCAGATTTTATCGCCATAAATTATGAAACTTGATAGTCATGGATTTGACTGACAGCTGTCCGTCAAATTCCCGCCCCGCACCCCGCATTGTACATATTTTGTTCGCGATGTCTGTTCTATACGTAGTAATATTACTTCAATGCTTTAAATAAACTCGCCGTGAGGAACTTAAAGTCAATAGGGAATATGCAAGGTATTTTTATTCCTCACATTTCAGTAGCTTTGGAATTATCAAATCAATCAATGCTTTTCTTAAACAAAAATTTCAAAAAATGCCTAAGATATAAGTAGACTTTAGAAATGTCAAGACATCGTTGGTAATGTTAGAACGACACGCAGAATCCCATTCAAGTTGCTATGGGCGGGTGACATTTGACGTCACGCTCAGCTATTGTACAAAGTTTGAACACTGGTAACTTTTTTGTTTCAAGTCAGATTTCAATAGTAGTTTTTCAGAAATTCTATTATTTATAATAATAATAATAATGTCACCTGCCAATGTCATGTCTTGTTTGTAAATTTTCCTGAATAATTTTATGGAAATACATGGACCTATAAAAAAAGGCGGACGGAACTCGCGCTACAACAAAACTGTGACGCAAAATTTTGGCGTTTGTCTATTGTGTGAGTGAATTTAGGGATGCCATGTTAGCCAAAACATTTTACCCATTTATTTTAAGAAAAACATAGATCGGNTATAGATTAGTATAGATACAGACTTATTAGGCTAGTTTCCTAAAAAATTTTTTTTAGTCCGTCATGTTTAATATCATTGACGTCACGGGCCTCTTTTTATGAACTTTGGCGCGCTTTATCTCTTTAAATTTTCATTAGTTTGAAAAAGTGAAAAATACGTGTAGAGTATTTTTTGATAAGTTAACTGACGGACTAATTAAAACTCTTGCTTTTTGACCCAGGAAACATCCCTATTGCAGACTGTAACAGTAACCCAAAAAAATTTTTCAAAAAGAAATCTAAGCTTTTAAACTTTCGCGTTCCATTTTAACTAAAATACGAGTAGATCCGTAGGAGAACCAGAGCGACTGACATAGCCCGCAGAATCGCTAAAATCAAGTGGCAGTGGGCGGGGCACATAGCTCGAAGGGCTGATGGCCGCTGGGGCAGGAAAGTTCTTGAGTGGCGACCACGAGCTGGAAGACGTAGCGTGGGCAGGCCTCCCACTAGGTGGACCGACGATCTGGTGAAGGTCGCGGGAAGTACCTGGATGCAAGCGGCACAGGACCGGTCTTTGTGGAAATCCTTGGGGGAGGCCTTTGTCCAGCAGTGGACGTCTTTCGGCTGAAACGAACGAACGAACGAACGAGTAGAACGACACGGGCCTTACAGTTTTATAGTCGGAAAATAAATAATTTCAAGTAAAAAAGTATGATCATGTAGCTTTTTTGGGTTTTAATGACTGTGTACTTCTTTCAGCGACAAGCCTACTTAAATACATTCACGCCAGCGCCTTTTCAATATTTTTGGGGCTTGTAATTTTAAATAGACCTTTTGTAACCTCTTTTGTGTAAGTGTAGCAAAGCGCGCCCGCGCAAACAATAGACAATACGTTGTTTATTTTACACGCTTAAACGTTTGAAAGCGCCTGTATCAATAAGGCTTATATCAATTAATTAATTACAGTTCGTTTATTCAGAACGCTACTTATGTTATGCTTGCGTTAGCCAATTACGTATTGTTTGATTTGCAAATTTTGTGATGTTCTACAACTTCGTTTCTCAAACCAAGTATTTTACTTAACGTTAGATTTCTCGCGAGTTGGTTTAGAGTAAGAAAACACAAATAAGCAAGTTTGAAATTTGACGCGTATCTGAATATCAAGGTGATGGTAGTTTTGAATTCTACGCTTACGTTATAAGGTCTTGATTTGGCAGTAGTGGTTGTTAGTCCATCCATTAATAGCTTAGTGCCAACGTAGGGCAAAATCTGGCGAAGTCCTTAGCGATTGTAAAACTTGAACAAAAAGTGGTTCCAAATCGGCTTAACGATGGTGGAGGCCGTTACGGAGATGTATTCGGACCCACGTGCCCGGCCTGACAACAACTGGATCTTAATAGATAAGGATGTTCACTTTTTTTCACATATGTGAGGTTTTTATCGAATTTTTCATTTATGATACCTATCTGACAACAATGTGATAACTCAAACCCTAGGAAAATCTAGAATTAAATTCAGTCATCTTCGCAACTATACAAACAACTATCCTCAAATATCCTCAGACACACGACGGCCATGAAAGCATTAAAAGGTGGACATAATTTGATCGATTTACAGACAGTATTTTGACAGTAGAGTCGTACTTGATTGAATAACGTTTACCTATTCATTCAATGTTGTAGATTTGTATTATTTTATTTTTAAAGTCTTATTTACTGCCATGCTAGACGCAGAATCATCGCCAGTATAGTATCGATATCATAACAACACTAAAGCACATTTCAATTACAGCTTTCCTTCGACAAAGTTGTTTTATGAAACATTCACATGAAGCAATAAAACTTTGTTTTATCAAAATTGTTTTACTTAAATGGGACATTTATTACATTCCTATGTATTTAATGTTATTATGTCATTCCTAAGAAATTGATACACGGTATAATGGACATACTTGTACATAATGTTTTATACATATTATATGTGTGCGCTTGTAATAACTTATGCGAGTAAAGATAACAAATTTTTTGAGATTTTATCTCATGTGAAAAAGGAGAAAGATTGTTTCCAAGTTTGCATTTATTAAGTATAACGTTTTTATGATATTTTTGTCGATTTATGAATCTGACGGCTTCAATACCATCATG